AATATAGAAAAATTAACTTGCAATTAAAAGGCAACTTTGTATCCACTTTGCATAAATCAACATGTTAAATGCCGAACTTTGAGTCAAATGAGTTAAAAAAAATCTTTGTCTTGTAGTTCTTATAAAATTATTGGATCAAATAGTTCAAACATACCAACTTCCCCCAACAATCGCACAATAGCTTTTTTTTCCTTCTTTTTTTTCACCCTAAACAACTGCCATTTGTCATATTTATAAGTTAAGAAAGCACAGAAGAAAACCTTTAGGCATCAAATATGTACAGGTGCTTATGTGTGGATCCCTACTGGGTCACTCTATCTGTATTTTGTTTTGCATTCTATGCTCCTTTTTCCAGCTAGAAGAAGCCGTTGACTAAATAACTGGAAGCATCAAGTATTTTCAGCTAAAAGCAAGGTTCAAGTAACGGCCAAAACGCCACAAGTCACAGATCTAAAGACACCTTGAAAGCCTTAGACATATTTTGGCGTTCTCTGTTGTTATGCAGCTCAGGTATTTTTCTAGCATACTGAAAAAACCCAGAGAAACAAAACTCAACTAATATTGTGGAAACAGTGTTTCCAGGGTTGATGCCAGCTTGTTCTGAGGTAACAGAGACTGAAAAGTTTGATTTTGTGGTAGATCAGCCCCGCACTTGCTGCAAAGCATGTACCTTGAACTGAAGTTTTATTTTATGTAGCAGCAGCTTTAATCTGCTTGTACAGGTTGGGATTTCAGTCTTGAAAAATAATGTTTGTGATGGCACTTTGTAGGGAGGCATGGCAACCTTCATCACCTTCACAAAGCCAGACCTTTGGACAATTTGAAATGGCATCCAGTCCTTTGAAATGTAAAAAGGAATGGCTGCAGTGAGGTTTTGAGTATTATTTTGAAGTGGGCAAATGAGCAGCCTGTCTTTTACCACTGTCTGTGTCACCGTGGATGAGGACATAGGACCACTAATATTACAGGGTTTCGCTGCTGAATGCCTAGTTTTCCATTCTCAAACACGCAATCGGTTGATCTTCTGTATGCGTTTCCATCTATGGGATGGACTACAGTGTTTCTTCCTTTTGAACATTTTCAAAAGCAGTTTGAGAACTGCTGGATCTTCGATGAACAAAACCGGTTGAGTGGCTAAACCACAGGACATATTATAATGTGGAAAGAGTGCAAAGAGTGCAAAGAGTGCATCGAGGCTACAGAGAAACAACAGAGCAGGAGAAAAACTATAAATCAGACTTACCTTAGATTTGTTACAAAGTAGTCTCTGGTGGATTCGAAGCGTTACTCCCTTTTGCAGCAGTTTTCTTTTTGCATGATCGCAAAATATTTTCACACTGCAGACTTAGTCCCCTTAAAACACTTGCCATGTTCTAATTTGGTAAGGGTTGGTGGGCAAGCCCAGATTATAAGGTGTAGCTGCACCTGGGAGGCTTTGTTTGATGCAGTTTCAGCTGTTGGTTAAAAAGAAATGCGCAGTTACAGTGTGGTTCATCGTAAAACAGTTTCATACATATTTAGCCCAGCTGCCCTATATTACCAGTTATGTTTTTACAGCAATTAGCTCCACATTGAGATGGGACTTCAGCTAGACAGTAATATTGTATCTTAACTTAACCTTTACAAACTTCTATCCATCAGGTATATTCTTGAAGTGGTTTGGAGTCTTTGTTCTTTCTGCAACTGAGACGATCCAGTGATCTTGTCAAGTTCTGGATTTTGTTCAGGTGAATATGAATATTCTGTTAATGTGCCTTTTGCTCTTTTGGTTTCTCTTAACCCCTAAAAGTTGCAGTTCCCATCAATCATTGTAGGTTACCACAGATAGCAATGACTGTATGGCCCACATTTGACCGCCACAACTCAGCTAACCCGACCATATTAAGGGCAGATGCCAGGTGTGTTGTCTGGCCCAAACAACAGCTTTGATGATTTTTGTTGATTGATTTAGTAGCTTGTAGTAATCGGTAATCTTCCTTACATTCGTTCATTGAGGTTTGCGGGTATTCACTAATGCACAGCTCTCTGAAAGTCCCAACATAGCATTTCAATCAGTTTGAGGCCTGGACTTTGACTGGACCATTGCAGCTCCTTGATTCTTTTCCTTTTCAGCCATTCTGCACTAGATTTGCTGCTGTGTTTGGGATCATTGTCCTGTTTCATGACCCAATTTGGGCCAAGCTTTAGCCGTCAGACAGATGGTCTCACATTTAACCCGAGAAAACATTTTTTTCATGGTGGACAAAATGAATGCAAAGTGCCCAGGTCCTGCGGTGCAAAACAAGCTCAAGTCATCACATCACACTTGCTGATGATGAGTTAATCAAGTGCATTTGATTGGCTGCTACTTAACTACTTGATTCATATGGAATATTTGTTAAATAAGTGGTAACATGCTGGTTTCTGTCCTGTTTTTAGTTCATCTGAGGGTGTATGTATCTCATTTTAAGATCTTTAAAGGAGCAGATTTGTATTATGTCTTAAGCAAAACATTGTACCTTCTTCTTAACCTGAACATGAATGCACATCCTCCTGACTGAAAATGTGGCAGCATGTTGCAAACAGAGAAAATATAGTGGATGATGTTTTCCAATTAAAAGTAGTAGCATCTGAATAAACTCAGTGGAACTGCATTACAAACCCAGCTGTTACCATAATGTTGTACAATTTAATGTTAATTTGGTAAAGTGCTGAGCACATTTCCACTTAATTTAACTAAATACTACTTACCTCTTATATTTGTCTCATATTTGAACATTACGCAGTTGACAATAGTGGAAACACTGCCCTCTGTTTATGTGTGTTTGCCATATAATGCATTTGAATGCGAGGCAAACCACAATTGCACATTTCCATCTTTGTTTGCAGAAACAAGAGAACACGATGTTCGTGCACTTAGGGTTACCAATGTGTTCATCACATATATGCTGTTTATACAGTGTATGCTTGTCGTTGTCATGCACTTTGATTAATGGAAGGGCAGACCTGACATTTGGAAATGGGACTCATTGGGTTTCATTTAAAGCTCCCAGCCATGCAACAACCAGGTCCTCGGTGTAGTTTGATCGTACGTGGTTTGCTCTCAGGGTTTTCTCCCAGAAAAGCTTTCTGCCATGTAGTTTAATATTTCTATATAATTTTCACTTTTCTGGTGCTGTTGAGGCAATTAAACTATGTGGTTAGATTTAGGAAAATATCACAATATTTGTGAAAATGCACCCTTTCAAATATCCTTAGTGAGAAAGCATCAGGGGAGACTGGGGGTAATTGTAACTTTTTACATTTTCCCTCATAATTCAAAGACTACTTCAAGCACACTAGTCGTTTTTAAGAAAAGGAACATATACAGTACTTCATAAATTACTAGAACACCACCCAGTGTAAGTTTTATGCTGTCCTGAATTGCCAAAATAATTTCTTCTGTTTCTGCGATGGTTAATCCACCAGTCTGTGCAAGCTCTTTAATCAAAATGACATTTTTAATGTTAAAATATAATTATTCTTGTATCCATGAACTTTCAAATGAACTTTTCTATAAAAAAGCTGAAAAAAAAATAAATCATGTTAATCTTTTTTAATTAAAGCACCAAATTACAGTTATTTACTTGCATTTCTGAACAGAAAAATCGGTTCAGTGCTTGAATCTTATGCTTGATTTATTCATCAATTCTGACACCTCAGAGAAGTCCGGTGGAAAAATATGAATCCAGTCTGTTAATTACCTAATAAATAATAATGCAATTTTTATTTTAGAAACAGGTTTTTGACAGATTTCTAAACGATTTGTGTTTTCTTCTTTTTATGACATATAGTCTAATACATTTATTAAGCACTACATATGTGCACTAATAGTACAATTTGTACATTTTCACTTATGATGGCAAGACTGTAAAAATGAAGCAAATAACACTATATCTCAAATCTAAAAACGTACATAGAAAGGTTTAACTCTTGGAGGTATGTTAGTCTGTGGATTGAAGGCATTTTCCCAGAAAGCCTAACTATTCTAGAGGTAACTATAATATAATCCTATGAACTGAGTATAAGTTACAATTTAAAACTGTTTTTAAGGTAACTTACATCAATATAGACAACAGATACTGACTGATTTTTTTTAAGATATTACCATATGACATAAGAGATTTTAAGAGAATAATGCAAGATTTGCTATTATACCTTCAAACTGACACCTTCTGTCAACATGTAAGCACTATTTTAAACAAAAAGATGTATTTTTTATTTTAGGTAGTCATTTTAAATGTAGAATTATTGCAATATGTCATCTTTAACAGTAAAGTCAGTCATCAACACAGAGAAGCAAAGCGCCTGCAGTCCTAAATGTTGACATTAACCCCGACATCAGCGTTACAATCTTATATTCTATCTAGTAGCGCCTACATGATTGTTCAAAATTATCTTTAAAACTGATGTAAATTAAAAACAAGTAAGTTTGTAAGCTTAAATTGATGCAAGTTCAAATTCACTATCATGTAAATTTTAAACAGTAGAAGAAGAAAAATAGTGCAGATCCAGAAAGTTTTTACATCAAAATCAGTTTTGTCCCTGAGAGTTTATGCAGAAGTGTATTACAACTGCTCCCACTATCCTCTACTTTCCCTATGTGCTGGAAGGCTTCTCCTCTTCCTCACTGGTTTTTAAACAATGGCTGACAACCAACATATTAAGTTCTGCCATCTTCTGTTCCCAAGAATGGACATGGTAATAAATCCTACCCATAAATCGAAGCCACTGAACACTAATGTGATAATGCTGTGCTCCTCCATTCCACACTTCCTCTGCTTCTTGATCATATGTTGTGACTCGTGGCCCCACTTAGTACACTATGTGACCGCGCGCATTACCGTCTCCTCAGCCTGATAGTGTTCACTGTTTATATAAAGCTACAGGATGCTCTCCTGTTACTCGGTGTTTGGTACAGTGGCTTCATCTTGTGGACAGTGTTAACATTTCCTCATCGCGTTTACGCGACCGTTCAGTTTGGATGTAGCAGGTTTCCGTAGAGAGGAGGAAAAGCGTCGCCCTAGCAACGGAATGATCAGCAGCAGGATTCTTCTGCAGCGGATTGAATCTTTCATGAAAGAGAAACGCATTCAGCTTCTGGTTTACTAACTAAAGCCGTAATGGCTGCAAGCAACCCATCCGTGTTTCTTCTTACGGTGAACGGACATATTGAGGGAGCGAACGTGAGTGGGCTTTCTGTGTTTTAGCCTAGCCTAGCAGCTGATTGTTCAGCTAGCATTAGCACCGTTTGAGGTAACTTGTGCCATGGATTCGTCTCATTTCTCAGTTCGTTTACCCTTGTGTATAGGTGTAAAGCTGATATTATCTTTGTTGTATTTCAGTTTCCAGAGTATGACAACTTGTACTGCAAATATTGTTTTGTCTACGGCCACGACTGGGCTCCCACCACGGTGAGTAGCTGTCAAGTCCTTTTCTGCATCTCGAGATTCAATATAAAATTACAGTTTTATATATAGTACAGGAACAATTAGCCTGAAAAGGGGTCATGAAGTCTTTACTAAATAACAAATGGTTAAAGTCCAGCCCCTACTGAAATTTCGTGTGTTTGTTTGTTTTCGTCCTATAGGGGTTGGAGGAAGGCATCACGCAAATTGCTAGTAAAAGCAGCCAAGCTTCCCACAGGTTGATATGGAACTTCCCACTGGCAACAACATTTAAGAGCACAAATCCATCTGGATGTGAGCATTACACAAACACACTCAAAAACACGTGGTTAATTGCAAACAGTTGCCCTCTGTTGACAAAAATATTAGATCCTTTAGAAGGAGAAGGGCAAATTAGTTGCACTGTCTTTGCAGATCAAGAGAAAGTATATGATAGAGTGACAAGAGATGAATTGTAGTACTGACAGACAGCCAACCAAGTATGTGAGAGTCAACCGTCCAAAGTGCACAAGAGAGGTGAAAAAGAGAGTGCAGGCTGGGTGGAGACAAGTGTCAGGGGCGATTTGTGAAAGAAGGATAGCAGCATGAGTGAAAGGGAAGGTTTAAAGGATGGTGGTGTGATCTGTTATGATGTATGGTTTGGAGTCTGGGAGTGATCAGGATGTACGGGACTCGAAATTAATATATTAGAGGGACCACTCAGGTTGAGCAGTTTGGAGACAGAGTTTGAGATTGAGGCAGATGATCTGCTCTGAAAATAGAAATAGAAGTAATATCTAAAACTTATTGTAGACAGAGAATTTATGTATTAATTAATGGGTTCATTTTCCAGGGCCTCAGCTTGTGGTGAGTGTTTATGGTCCAGATGTTTTTGGCAACGATGTGGTCAGAGGCTACGGAGCAACACACATCCCCTTCACACCAGGACAGTCAGTACTGCTTTCATTTACTTATTAGGTTTTTTTGGGGGGTGGGTTGCCCTACACAAGTACCATTTTCAAATGACTCGTGCTCACCTTTGAGCCATGTCAGCATGTAGACACCACCTGCTTCTTTCAGCAGGAAGAGCGTGAAACAGAAAATAACCTTATTTTTATTCTTCAGGCATACGAAAACCATTCCCATGTTTGTTCCTGAGCCCACATGGAGACTTCAGAAGTTCACAGGGTGAGATGTGTGCGGTCTTCTCATCTCTCTGCCAGCAGCTCGGGTGGCTTATGATCTCAGAGCAGTACAAACTGCGCAACACCTGAGCTAAAGATAGGCTCTTATTACCTGTATGGTGAGAATAATTAACATTGTTTTTCCTGCTTCTGTGATCAGTATGCGGAAAAACACAAACAAAGGTATTCCCACGTTATCTCCTGACAACCTAAGGTCGCATAACTTTGGTGGCATGCCAAAGTTATGTCATTTGTTGTCCTGACAGTGTAACTGAAATAAAACAGCAGCAGCACATTTTTTTTAAGGGCTTTTCTTCCTCTTGTTTTAGCCACTTGTATCAAAGTATCAAGTTAAGGTTAACTTGCCTTAAAAAGCCTTCCAGAGTAGACTGAGAAAACTGAGTTTATCTCAAGCTAAATGCATATTCTTAAGCCAGTTTGTCGTACATAAAGGTTCACAATTTTTTTCCTCTCCTCTGTTCAGGTGGTTGACGGGACGACGGCCTGAATACACAGATCCTAAAGTGGTGGCCCAGGGTGAGGGCAGAGAAGGTGTGTGGCTCTTGTCTGTATTTCTTTATTGTCCCAAAACTAGTATGCTGTGCTAAAGTCACATCAGGGAACCCGAAAGGAGTCCAGTCTAGTGCTATTAACTTCTTGTTGCTGTTGAAATAGTTGTTTCTCCTGTCGCAGTTCTTATTTCTAGTGACTGAGCCTTTAGATTCACAACAAATCAAATCACACAAGTTACTCCAGGCTCTGGACTAAAACAAAAACTGTGTCTTATATTTAATGTTGCAGTGACTAGAGTTCATTCACAAGGCTTTGTGTCAGTCTCCTTTCTCATCATGACTAAAGACATGAAGAAGATGGACTATGAGACGGGACCATCAGGCCCGGCAAACAAGCCCTCCGCCACATCTGGCTGATCAACAGAGGAACAACCATAAAACATGTGGTAACATTAACAGACTGAAGGAAATTTGGGCCAAATGACACATCTCCTCATTAAGGCGACATTTTTTCCCCTCACCGTGACAATCCCGTGTTCAAATGAGACACCAGCAATAATGTGCGCATCTGGAAATATTGTGTAGAGATGGAATTATACTAATGTGCTTTCAGTTATACCTTTTGTACCATTTTTGATTTTTTTCACTGTTACTGTATGTTTTTTTTTTAAACTTTTCTAACACAAATAAACTACACATGTTGAGCACAGATCGCTGTAGTCTGTGGGCAAAACATCCCCAGCCCTAAAAACAACATGCAAGGAGAGACAGAGCGGACAGAGCTGAAGTGATACACAGTTTATTTTGAACCAGTTGCAGCTACAGTTGTCCTCATCCGACAGGGGTGCGGAGCCTGCTGCGTTCATTTGTTTAGATGTCGTTAAAATACCACAATGACTTTTCCTACAAAAACCCATTACACAGAATAATAAGGTATACAGAAGAACAGTATGTTACAATAGTACAAATGATAAATTATATTATACAGTTATAATGCCAACAGGTTGAGCACGTATCCAATAAAAAAATAAAAATAAAAAAAAAAGGAAAGAAAAAGCAGCCTGCTCCCAGTACTATGAGAAAGGTAAATAGACACGAAAAGAAAAGAATAAAGGAGGCTGTTTATGCATACAAAGACAGACAGCCTGTAAGGTCAGTTAGTCCTCTTGATAAAAGCATAGTGAATACATAATGTAACACAGAGGAGCTCGCTACACACAGGCCACATTTTCACTGCACCATAGTCACGACTGTGAACAACGCTGCCAGGGATTCAAGAAAAAACGTTTTCCGGCTGCAGCGTTCTCAGACTGTTTGAGCGCGACGGCTCGAAGCCTTTGTTCTCTTTTCGACGCTTCTATAAACTTTCCTGCAATTGCTGAGAGTGAAGTTTAAGGTCAGGCCCGCAGTGAAAGACAAGGCCGGTGAGAAGGTGACACATCTTGAGCTAGAATATCATAGTAGTGTTTCCATGAACAAGACTTAGTTAGCAAATTTTATCCTGCAAAACACATCAAGCGTTAAGTCTGTTTTTATCTCGTTCACTTTTTCCTTCTTTTATTTTTGCATATATTTAGTTGAGATTAAAAAAATGTAAAAATGCTTGCTGGTCTGCAGGGGTTGCATCCATTCATTCATTCAGGACCCCCAAACGTAAAAAGCAATCGCCACCGCCACCCTCGTGAAAAGCATACGCACACGTACGGTCGGAGCTGCCCCTCCTTTTGTTTTTGCCTGAGAGAAATGAAGGTCTGCTTTAAGTGGATGTCTCCACGGTCCTGCAGAGTAGCTATCATACCAGAGCAGACCACGAGGGGGCGCCAATCCATATCAAAAGAAAAATTAACAAGGAAGGAAAAACAAGCTTTCCACAGTCACATTGGCAGTTATTGAGAAAGAACTGAAGAAACTATTCTGACTTACACAAAAAAGGGTCTGTACACCAGGTGCAATTCATCCATAGCTGAATGTCATCAACCCACCTTTCACAACCAAAATGACGAAAGACAAGACACTCAGCTCGCTGTCAGTAAATGTGCTGATGTTCAGCCAACAGTAACACTTTCTTACACAAAACTCTGAACAAAATGTAAAACAGCTCTGCAATATAAAACATTTTAACAATGGAGTCTCTGATCTCAAGAGCGTCAATAAACAGAAAGAGAAGGGGGGAAATGTCAGTAAGCGGTGACTCTACTGTTCAAAGTAATCAGAGTACGGCATCCTCCGAAATCACAGTCGCTATGACTTTGGTAACAGTTGTGCTTCTAAGAGAAGAGAATTACATAGCCTACCCATAGGGTGACACAAACTAGAGTAACAGGAAAAAAAATAAAATAAAGATGACACATGGCTTAGCTAGGTACACAGCTCCAAAACTCTGATAAGCTTGGCTATGGATTTACACCTAACACAAACAAAAACAAAATAAAGTAACCAACACAAGAAAACAACCGCACGTTTACGTAACATGACTCGCTGTTGTTTGCTGTGGGATTCCCTGTGCTATCAATAGACTGATCCTGGAACAACCCCCTTTGAAAATGTGTGAGTGAGTGCGTGTGTGTGTTTCCACTAGGTAATGTAATCCTGTAGATAGATTAACGCCAGCAAATCCAGTCAGAGGTAAACTCTTCCCACAATGCCAAGTGTCTGTCATATGCTTTAAAATATTATTTTTTTTGTTAAAGCAACAATCACTGATATCTGCTGCAAACATGCGGGGGCGCACACACACACACACACACACACACACACACACACACACACACACACACACACACACACACACACACACACACACACA